GCATTTCATTCTTTAACAAAAGCTTTCTTAGCTGGTTCCACTGGTGAAGTGGTTCCATTTTTTAATTTCCTCTTCAAGTGTTTTTTAGCTGGCTGTTCCTGTGTTTGTTTACTTTCACCATTTTTGTTCCCATTATTTACAAGATTCTCAGGTGAGTTGTGACCTGAACAGTCCTCAGTCTCCTGAATGATGTCAAACTCATGTGTGTTCAGTCTCCACTGGGCTTCATCAGGGTCGGTAGCACCCTCCTCCATGGTCCTCTCTACATAAGTAGCATGACCACTGCCATCAACTAACACCACTGTGTTTGTTCTGAGAAAAAAGATAGAATGGGTAATATGACTGGAATAGACAAGCTACTAATACATAGCCAGGACTATTGACAAATCCTGTTCGAAGATTAGAAGGCATTCCAATTCCTTTTCAATAACAGTTTCCACAAGGAGTAACTCAATGTCAACGAAATGTTTGTAATTAGTAACTTAGATCATGGAAGAACAACCAGGCATGGTTTCCACAGTGCTGTTTGTCACAACTGTACTATAACATAACAATTGATCTTGCGCTGTCACTAAGGTAAATCTTTGCATCTCTGACTCAAAATAAATAAAAACTGACCACTAGGTCAATGTACCCTTTTCAATCACAGTTTCAACAAGGAGTAACTCAATGTTAACAAAATGTAATTAGGAACTTTGATTATGGAAGAACAACCAGGCATGGTTTCCACAGTGCTGTCACAAATACTATTACATAACGAAAACTGATGTTGCATCTTCAATAAGGCAAATCTTTCACACAAAATAAGAAAAACTGAGTATTACTTCTCATAAATCTAATCTTGTGGACTGCCTTAAAATGTAAGTTAGTGTGTATTTGCAAGGCTAACTTTGACAAAGATATTATTTCCAGTCAGAGGGTGAAGCATTACACCCAAATAATGATGAACACTCCTATTGATCCAATATTGGTTTTTAATCCAATTGGAGCAAATATCCTCCAATTAACATACAAAATGAGTAGAAATATATAAACAATAGCCTCCATTTGGCATGGAAATATGCTCAAATATTTGTCCGCAGACATTATCTGTTCCGAGAAGTGAACAGTTTTCTGAGAGCATATCTCGAGGATAACTGTCAGCTTCGAGGAACAGATAATGTCCTGGGACAAACGTCCAAGTATATTTTCATGCTAAATGGAGGCTATTATGTTTATTATCCTGCATTAGCTGGAGAATATTCAGTCACGTGAAACATTTAGACCAACTGCATGCGAGCGAAAATATTTGATGGATTATAAACAACATTACATAGTGAGAAAACCTGTTTGACAGGTCCATTGACTGTGCACACCATGCAGAACTGCCACACGCTCCCTCTTTCCCTCTTTCCCTAATAAATTTATTGGCTAATAAAGCCCCTATTAGATGTTTTGATATGTAGTATCACTGTAAATGGTTACTTGTTTGTATTTTGACAAACCCATATGGTACAACTCATTAAAGTTTACAGTGATACTACTGTACACCAATAAATCTAATAAGATATTAATAACATCAATTTGTATCAAAGATTCAAAGCTACAACTGAAAGAGACAATCATTTATGGGATTAATTTGGAGATCTGCGGAAACTAAGCCATAATTAAGTTTCATCCTGAAGGTTGACTCTGTTGACTGTCCACGTACTGATGGTTGTCTGCAGACGTCTACCAGGGTCTTGATCAGTGGGAAGCAAATTTTATTCATTTTTCATTCTCAAATACTGTGTCAGTCATGATATCTACCTTGTTCCATATCTCGCTTCCTTACAGTTGACAAAAATTGCTTGGCATGCACTGATCCACTTCATGTTACCACCCTCATCTTGGGGTCCAAAGAAACTTTTCTCATCACCACAACTGAATTGTCTAACAACAAAAACAGTTTATTTTAAAATAAGTCTGTAAATGTGAAAGTGGCACTAAGAAACATTTTTAAAATTAAAACTAAGTTGTTAGGCTGAATTTCAGTCATCTTTTCTGCTTGCTTTTTCTCTGAAGTAAGGAACCAGAACAGGCAGCTAGATGACATTTAGGTTTGCAAGCCATGAAATAAAAAAAAAAACACAAGACAGCTGACACAGATCTGTTGTTCATGTCTTTACCAAGAGAGGGGTGGTACTAGCCAAATTGTAACAACATAGAGCTTGAGCTGACAGGGTTTAAACCTGCTTGTCATGGGTATAAGATTTATTACTCTCTGCATCCAGCTAATCTAGACCATAAAACCCATCTCTGTTATGCACCCTCTTGAATACATGCCCTCCCCCCCCATCTCTTATCACCCCCACACACTCTACTTCCAGATAATTGCATGGGAAGCATCACTCCATTCAGTACCTTCTAATGGAGAACTAATACTCCTTGTCATTATAATAACTTATTTATTATATTAAATAACCAGCCCAGGTCCTCATTAACTCAACTTTATCAAATGTCTACACAGCTTTATGCACATCTAACTGGGTCCCAAGCTTGACACCTTGTTAGACTTTCATCCTGCCTAACAGAGCTACAAGGGAAAAATGAAGTGAGTTTGAAGATACCAACCTTTGCCGTGCATTCAGAAGGCCCATAAGCTTGTCAACAAGTTCTTGTTTGGTGGAGGTTTCCTCTAATATTTCAGCAAATCGTTCCCTTCCATAAGCCATCTTGGGCCAAGAACAATTCAACACTTTATTTGATAAGACATGTATTCCAGGCTTCAACAAGGTGACTTGTTTCTCTTCAATGTTGCAATACCATCCAACTTTGGTCTCACCAGTTTGTAGTAAATTTCCCACCAAGAGATTAAATCCATTGTACTTGTCAGATTGGCTGCTAACAGACTCAAGGTATCTTTCAACATTATCATCTCCTTTAAGAAAGCCTGGCACCAGATGTCCTCTCCCTATTGCATTAGGATCTATGAACTTAGGTGCTTGTCTGTAGTTAGTAATAGCTGCAAATTTTCCACTAGTGGTCATTCCTAGCCATGTTCCACCTTCCTTTCCTTGCTCCAGATCCATTCCTATCGAAAGGAATACTCACATCAACTCAATTTTGTGAAAAACTCAGTTTGTAAATCATATAGCACTGCTGTCTCTCTAGAAATTCAAATTGCACTGCATGGTTTTAAGGGTATGTAATTGGAATTGCATTTTTTGAGCAAAATTGCAAAACCAGATCATGATAATCATCTAAAATGGCGTGGTTTCAAGCCAGTTTATGAGTGATGAAACAATACATGCTGAGAGTGAGAGTTTGAGACAAACAAGGTCCAAAATCATGATAATAGTAAATCAGCTAAAATGGAGTGGTTTAAAATACCCATTTTATGAATTTAATATGAACCATACATGCATTTAAGTTATGCATTAAGGTTTTACCTGCAAGTATGTTGGGACTTTTTGCCCAGAAATTAGCATCAGCTGTTGGTCTGAAATAAAATTCATCCCTATTTGATGCTATAATAAGACGGTATCCATCAGGGCTTGGTTTGTCACAGAAGTAGAAGAACAAGATGCACATCTTGTGGGCTTTGCTTAGCAATATTGTGTTGTAACTTATCTGTGAAAATAAATGGGTATGTATTCACAAAAGGAAGAATTTTATGTCAAGAATACATCTCCTGTCAACAAAGGAAAAGTGGATATCCCCAAAATACTGTCAATAATAATAATAATAAATTATTGTTACCTTCTGTGGTTCAATAAAATTTGGCCAGTTATTAGATATGCAACCGTTATTGCTGTTAGCAAAAACTAATTAACTACACTAATTAAATGTTTTTACTACACGTTTTAACAGGACTAACAGGAAGCAAACAAGTAATAAATTCTTTAACAAAAGTTTTGTTGAATACTTTTTTGTTTTGAAAACAAAATTAAATTCAAAAATTTTGATTTGCATGAGTTGTGGTTTAATTTTTTTTTGGCCGTCCTACATCAAAGCAGTTTGATGTTTATTTACCTGTTTCAGATTATGCTGATAGTATGAGACAGTCAAAAATAAAAATAAAAATAAAACTAGCCAAAGATAAATGTGAACCATGATAACATTCTATGAAATCATACATCAGTAAAGATTATTCACACTGCTTTCAGAATACTATCAGACGAAAGAAAGTGCGCACAGATAGATTATTGCCTTAAACTAAGCAAACATAATTTAATTTGGGTTTTTTAAGGAAATAAATGAAATATTTTACATGTAAAACATTCAATGTTTAGCCACAATAAAAACTGATATCCAAATAGTTACAGCTTACTACATGCACATTCGTAATTTTTTCATACACATCTGGTATAAATTACAAAATTCCTAATAGTGTAAGGCTGGAAACTGCAGATTGCCGAGGGTATCGGAAAATGAGCCAGAGCAGACTTTTAAGCTTACCTCTGTGATACGTCATATGATCAATAATATCAAATAAGCTTACGAAAGCAACGAGTTCGAAATTATTAGCTTCGCGTAAACCAATGACTCAAGCATTTTTACGTCACTTCTACAAAGAAGATATTGCCCTCATGTTCTGGTCTCTGATTCTCGTCTTGAGTTACACCAGCTATTGAAGATGGCAGTAAACGCAATCGACTATCAACTCGCATTTCCCGCCCTCCCCAGCCCTCGCAAAGAGATGCTCACGCATTTCGCCTGAGTAGTCTACCCTGGGCATGGGATGGAGGGATCTGAGAGAACGCCGCGTTGGCGTGATCTCAGAAAAAAAATTCCTCTGGCATTCACGGTAAGCTTTAGCCCTGTACAGTTCATTGAATTGACTATTTTCGATGTATAGCTCTATATATATTTAAATTCAGTTTGGCAGTGAGACTTAGAGGGCAGAAACAAAGGGAATTTAATGACATGTCAGGAGTGACAGGAGTGATGGGCTCCTGGACACGTTTATTTATTTCTTTTGTTTGTGTCCTCTAGGCCTCACTATCAAGCTGAATTTTAATATATCGAAAGTGACCTATTTTAACAACACCACAAACAATCAACAAAGGGCTAATTATGTATTTTCTGAGTATACATATATTAAACAATTGCTGGTTTTCAGTGTCACGCAATTCAAAATAGATCAAAATAAAAATCAAAACCGGTCAACCAGAATCTGGGAAATGAAAGAAGGTAAATATGCAAAGACTCTCGCCAAAATTCTGGTCACAGCAATTTTTCTTATGCGAGATACGTGGAGAAATTT